TTTGGAAGCTATTGTAAATTGTAAATGGCTACCAAATGTTTTCCTTATTTCCTTTTCAGAGGTCTCTTTGTTGATACACAGAAATTCAACTGATTTTTCTATGTTGATCCCATATTCTGCCACTTCGTTGAATCTTTTAGTTAGTTCCAGTAGTTCTCTTGTTTAGTCTCTGGGATTTTTCCTTGTATAAGATCATATCATCTGGAAATAGGGATAGTTTTACTTCTTCTTTACCAATTTGGATGCCTTTGATTTCCCTTTCTTGCCTTATTGCCCTGGCTAAGACTTCCAATACAATGTTGAATAGAAGTGATAATAGAGGACATACTTGTCTTGTTCCAGTCGCAAAGGGAGTGCTTTGAGTTTCTCTCCGTTAAGAATAATGTTGTTTGTTCATTTTGCATATAGACCCTTTATTATGTTGAGGAATTTCCCTTCTGTTCCTATTTTTCTGACAGTTTTTATAAAAAATGGGTGTTGGATTTTATCAAATGCCTTTCTGCATCGATTGATACCATCATGTGGTTCTTTTCCTTTATTTTACTTATGTGATGAATTACATTGATTGTTTTTCTAATGGTGAACCATTAGTGGATATCTGGTATGTTTCTCACTTGGTCATTGTGTATTATATTTTTGATATGTTTTTGGAGTCTATTGGCTAGGATTTTGTTAAAGAATTTTGCAGCTATATTCACAAAGGATATTGGTCTGCAGTTTTCCTTTTTAATAAGTGTCTTTTCCTGGTTTTGGTATCAGGGTTAATGCTTCCTTCATAAAATGAATGCTTTTCTGTGTTCTGGAATAGTTGGAGCAGGATTGGTCAGCTCTTCTCAATGTTTATAGAATTCTCCAGTGAAGCCGTCTGGGCCTGGCTTTTTGTTGTTGGTGGTGGTTGATAAAGAACGTTCAATTTCTTCTTTTGTTTTGATTCTGTGCAAATTTTCTACTTCAGTCTGTGTTAACTTAGGTAAGTAGTATGTTTCCAGAAATCTGTCCATTTCTTCTCAGTTTTCAAATATGTTGGCATACAGTTCATAGTATTCTGATACTATCTTTGCTACTTCAGTTGGTTCTGCTATGACATTGCTCATTTCATTTCTTACTCATGTTATTTCCATTTTCTCTTTCCTTTTCTTTCTTAAGTTTGTCAGTGGTTTGTTGATTTTATTAATCTTTTCAAAGTATCAATTTCTAGTCTTGTGGATTCTTTCTATTATTTTTCTGTTTCATTTGTTTCTGCTTGAATCTTTATTATTTCCTTTCTTCTGGTTTTCTAACTGTTGGAGATGTTGGGTTAAGGTGTTTATAAATATGTATATTATTATTATTATTATTTATTGTGCTTTAGGTGCAAATTTACAGAGCAGAGTTTGTTTTACATTCGACATTTCACGTACATTTGATTTCACTCCTCAACCACCACTCCCATTGGCTCTTCTTTTTTGATGTATGCATTTGTTGTTGCAAATTGCCCTCTGATGACTGCTTTTGCTGTGTCCCACATTTTGGTATGTTGAGTTTTCATTCTCATTGGATTCAAGGAATTTTTTATTATTATTTTTTCTATTACCCAGTAGTTTTTAAGAAAGGTGTTACTCAGTTTCCATGTGTTTGCTTTTTTCCCCTGATCTTTTTGTTGTTGATTGCTAATTTTATAGCATTGTGGTCTGAGAAAACGTTTTCCAGTATTTCATTGTTTTTAAATTTATTGAGGCTTGCTTTGTGCTTAACACATCTCTACTGGAGATTATACATCATGTGCTTGAAAAGAATGTATATTGTGCTATTATTGGGTAAAGTGCTCTTTAGATGTCTATAAGGTCAAGTTGGTTGATTGTTTTGCTTAGTTGTTCTGTGTGTTTCTTCAGTTTCTTTCTAGATGCTCTCTCTTTCATTGAAAGTGGTGTATTAAAGATTCCTACTATGACTTTGAAGTCATCTATTTGTCTTTTCAATTCTGTTGAAGTCTGATTTATGTATTTGGGGGCTCTTTCATTGGGTGTGAAGATATTTCTTATGGTTGTGTCTTCTTGTTCAATTGATCCTTTAATCATTATGGTGGTATTATAATATTATAATATCTTTCCTTATCTCTTATGGTGGTTTTTGTCTTAATGTAAATTTATGAGAAATTAATATTGCCACTCCTGCTCTGTTTTGATTGCCATTTGGTTATATAATTTTTTCCACCATTTGACTTTTAGCCTGTTTTAGTCTTTCTAAAGTGAGTCTCTTGTAGATAGCATATTGTTGGGTCATTTTTTCGTATGCAGTGCAAATCTCCAGCACTTGATTAGTATATTTAAGACATTTATATTCAGTGTAATTATCAATAAGTATGAATTTATTGCTGTCACTTTGCTATGTGTTTTTTTATGGTGTTGCTGATTTCTTTGTTCTGTATAATTTTCTGTGTCGAGCTCACTTTGTGAATTTTGTTATCATTTCCTTCATTGCTGTTGTTTTAGTATTAGGAAAATATTTGTGCTTGTCCTTTTAATTTTGATGTGAAGTTTATTAATTTTCTTTGAGGTTACCCTGTGGTTTATTATTTTCTTTCTGAGTTTAGGATTACTTGATATTTTTATTATTCATAGATGCTATCTTCCATCCAGGGAATGTGCTGAATAAACATAGAAAAATTATTATGCTTTAGATACTCCTTTTCTAGAGTCCATGTTGTTCTTCCAAAAAACCAAACCAAACTCACTGCTGTCGAGTCGGATCCGATTCATAGCGACCCCTCCTTGGGTTTCCAAGGCAGTATCACTGCGGAAGTAGATTGCCCAACCTTCCTTCCGAGGAGTGGCTGGTGGGTTTGAACCACCAGCCTTCTGGTTAGCAGTCAGATGCCTTAGGCACTACGCCACCAGAGCTCCTGTTGTTGTTGTGGTTAGGCACCATCAAATTGATTCTAACACAGCAATCCCATGTGACACAGTGGAGTAGAGTCCATGTAGACTACCATATATTTCTATTAATACATTCTCCATTTTGGTAGGCTCACAATACATTGAATTAACTTATACTGTTAGTGTTAGTTGCTGTTGAGTCGATTCTGACTCATGGTAACTCCATGTGTACTGTATAGAACGGTTCCATAGGGTTTTCAGAAGCATATTGACAGGTCTGTTTGGCATGATGCCTCTGGATGGGTTGGAAGCACCAGCCTTTCAATTAGTAGTCCAGCACTTAACCATTTGTGTAACTTATGCCTTTAGATAAAATCTTCTCTGAAGTAGTAGTTACCTAGACTAGGATAGGAGCTCTGTAGTGTAGTGCCTAAGACATTTGACTGCTAACCAGAAGGCTGGCAGTTCAAAGCCACCAGCCACTCCTTGGAAGGAAGGTTGAGCAGTCTACTTCTATAGTGATACTGCCTCGGAAACCCAAGGAGGGATCGCTGAGTCAGGTCCGACTCGATGGCACATAACAACAACAACAACAGACTAGGATTTGCTTGTGCCTGTCTGTCTGTGAAGCAGCTTTTTTTGCAGCGCCTAAGGTGTTTGACTGCTAACCAGCAGTTTGGTAGTTCAAACCCAGCAGCCGCTCTGGAGAAGGAAGATGGGGCAATCGACTTCCATAAAGATTTACCTCCTCGGAAACCCCAAGGGGGTTGCTGTGAGTTGGAAATGACTTGAAGGCAGTGAGTTTGGTTTTTGGGTTTTTGGTCTATCTGTGTTCCTCTGTCAGTATTTACAATGTGAGTGTCTGTGAACATGTGCATGCACTATGTCTTATATTTCAGTACTGGAGAGAGGGGATATAATTTTGCAAATGGCTAAGATGCTTCTTGTTTGTTGTATTTTGAAAGTTTCTTACTTGAAGAGTAAACTCTTAATTTGTATGCTACCTATATTCATTACTGAAATTCTAGATTATTGAAAGAACTGTACCAGTCTGTTTATATTTATTTAACGCCAGCACATACTTCATTTAGTTAGTTGTTTGGACGTGGCAAGTCTGTAATTCAATGGGATATGAGAAACACAAACACTGGAATAATTTGAGAAGATTTTTTTAATAAGCTGTACTGGAGAGAGAACTAAAAGGGAACTCATCTGCAGGAGGATCAAAGGAAATGTTAAGTGAGCATCCTGATGGTATATGTGTTAGAGGTTACCAAATTCTGTTAAGTCAATTCTATATTACAGTAGTAGCATAGTAGCATAGTGGCTAAAGCACTTGACTGCTAACCAGAAGGCTGGCGGTTCAAACCCACCAGCCACTCCTCGGAAGGAAGGTTGGGCAATCCTCCTTCCGTAGTGATACTGCCTCGGAAACCCAAGGAGGGGTCGCTATGAGTCGGGGCCGACTCGATGGCACATAACAACAACGACAACAACAGCGTAGTGTAAAGGGTTCTGCCTTGTGTTTGAATTCTTTCTGACACTTTCTAACCATGACTTTGGTCACGTCAAAGTAATCATTACCTTAAGGCTTCAGCTTTTTGCTTGAATCTAATTCTCAGAATTCTCAGTTTGTCATTTTCAGAATTACCTTTTATTGGTCACCAGTCAATGGCTATATAATTGAATGCTGTCTAAATTTGATGATCCTAAATCGGCCAGCAGTTATGAAGGTGACTGAAAGTGATTACTAATTTCTACTTTACCTATGTGCCCTTCTAGAAATATTACCTTAGTGTTATATAGAGACATAATAATTGGACTCTAACCCCACAATGTTCTATTTTATTTAACTTTAATGCTTGTAGTTTTTAGTGCACAGTTCATGGATGACTGTAAAATTTTACATGATATGTGTAAAATGGTCTTCAAAATGGGAACACATTTAGACCTTTAATATACTTGAAACTTTTCTAGGAGAATATACATATTAAGTATGTAATCATTACAGATCTTTTAAGGACTATGTAAATGTATTTCAAATGTCAAATTTATTGATATATTGGAAATACTAGATTATTTGATACTCATTTAGAGCAGGTTAATATTTTGTGATTTTACAAGAGTTTTCCATTTTCATTACAGATTCTTGAGACTATGCCGATGACTGAAAAAGTGGAAGAATTGCTGCATGTCATAGGTCCATTTTATGAAATTGTAGAGGACAAAAAAAGTGGCAGGAGTTCTGATTTAACTTCAGGTTGGACTGTTTTACCTATGTTTTTAAACCAGCAATTGATTATATTCTGAATTAATATTTATATATCTATGTGATTTTTTTTTTTTTACATGCCAGTCCGATTGGAAAAAATCTCTAAATATTTAGAAGGTATGAATAATGAAATCCGTGTAAAATTTTTGTTAGTATTAGTTTGCATGCATAAAGAATTCTATACAAACTTACATAACTTATAAGTTTTTCACCCAAGAATTTTCTTTCAAAACAAACATGTTTTATAATGTTCCAAAATATTGTTGTTGTTTACCGTTAAGTAGATTCTGACCCATAGAGACCGTATAGGACAGAGTAGAACTGCCATATAGATTTGTTTTTTCCTGAATTTTATGAATTTTGTCGTTGAGAATGTACACAGCAAAACACACACCAGTCAATAGTTTCTACATGTACAATTTAGTGACATTGATTCGCATAGGATTTTCTAGGCTGTAATCTTTATAGGAGCAGATTATCACGTATTTTCTCTCATAGAGTAGCTAGTGAGTTTGAACCACCAACCTTTCAGTTAGCTCCCAAGTCTTAACCATTGCATCACCAGGCTCCTTTCCAAAATACAATAAGCCCTTCAGTGTTTTACCCTTATGTGTTAAGTTATCAAAGCATGAAAGATGGATCCCTGAGTAATACAAAATTATGACATAATTTATGGTTTTATTTTGATATGCCCTGTTTTTTATTTCACTTTAGGAATTATGTTAGCAATATTATAGCTGAAATGATTTTCTAGCTACTTTTACAAAACATGTATTTTCAGTGTGGTTTAACTATAAACAAAATCCACTGCCATCAAGTTGATTCCAACTCATAACAACTCTAATTGGCTTTCCAAGGCTGTAAATCTTTATGGAAATAGGTTGCCTCATCTTCCTCCCATAGAGCAGCTGGTGGATTTCAACCACTGACTTTCTGGTTAGCAGCCAAATGCCTTACCTACTGCACTACCTTTTAACTATGGTCTAGCAAGCTAAAACGAAGCAGTAATTCAGTTAGCTTCTTATTTTTAGGGTTTCTTTTCATATTGTTGATAAAGGATTGAAAAGTTAACGTTTTTCATACTAGCAGGAGTTGAATAGTATGCAGGCTTTGCTGGTATTAAATGTAGACATTTGTTCTTCAGACCTTTTTAGAAAGCACAGTGAAATGAGCCCACAAGAGGTAATGTAAATGAAAATTGTATGGACTTTAAATAAAAAAACAGAATAAGTAAACAAACAGCATGGAATCCTTTCCCCCACCCCCATTCCTTTTTACAGAGCATCTTGTAATAACAGATGGACGTTGTACCATTTCATAACAGTAATCTTTGTGTCCTGTAATACGACCTCACAGTTTGTGTCTGCCCTGGGAACAAAACATTTGTACTGACAGTGCCTGCTAACTGCACTTAACTCTATGACACATCATTCTATATCTGACTTGCTTGCAGGAATCAAATATTAACAAATAATCCTCCTTATATTTTATGTTTATTCAATCCAGAAAAGACATTGCATGTTTCCCTCAACTTTCTTTAGTAGTGTACAGCCTACTAACCAGAAGCAGATATTTAAACAACTAGCTGTAAAACAAGAATAATAGTAGTGAAGACTCAGGTCCACGATCTCTCAGCTATAGATCAAAAATCTAATATGCTCTGGAAACCAAAAGTTTTTGTAGGTTATTTGCAGCAAAACTTCTCCTGCCATGAATAAATTTAGGAGCAAAACCTGACTTGAAGTGACATAAGGCTATTCTAAGCCTTTATTTTTGCTACTGAGTGAATGTTCATGTATTTTGCTGCAAAAATTTTAATATTTTTTTTAAGGAGGGGGCTGCTGTAGACTTTGATGGAGGTATTATGTAATATATAGTTTATGTACTATATGATCTTTGCAAAATTAGAAAAGTCTGGATTTCAAGATATATCTGGATAGAAAGTTTGTACTTAATTAAGGGATTGTGGACCATTTTAATGGATATTTAAATTACCTCCTTACTGCTAGTCAGAAGGCTGGCAGTTCAAACCCAACAGCCATTCCTCGGAAGGAAGACTGGGCAATCTACTTCCGTAGAGATACCTGCTCAGAAACCCAAGGAAATGTCACTATGAATTGAAATTGACAGAGGTGTTCTTTTTTTTTTTTTTTT